GAAGCATGAGGGCTGGGATAATCTCAGGTTGCTCAAGCCTAGTCAGGAGAAGTCGAGAGGCACAGACCTTCCGGTAAATAAATTCGCACTCTAATCACTGATCTATCTCGTCCTACTCGCCCAGAGCGGTTCCAGTAATGTTTTGAACCAGCGGGTCACTTCATTCACCATAGGTCTATTCATCTGTATTCAGGTTGAAGACCGAGTTTTGTCTTATATATTATTACTAGGTTTGCTGTTCATCAAAAGAGACCTAAGAGAATAAAATATTCATGAAAGTGCGTTGTGCATTCGAGTAACCTGATGATAACTCTTGTGTACCATCTAACCCATAATTCGATTACAAGACAAGTGCAGTAGGCTGGAAGCACTGGGATCTTTTGTCCGTGTTGCACTTTCCTGTGTAAATACTGACAAATTTCAAGGTATCAGGTATCGTTCTTCTGAAGAGAGTTTGCGATGCATACGCTTCTACAGAGGGAGAATTAAAATACCCACAAATGCTTGGAACAATATAACTTTCAATTCACTTGGCTGATTTAATCAGTATTCATAACAACTCATCTTAGAACATGAATAAAAATATCCCAGTACTATCGATCAATAATGTTTTAGTTGTGCTTAAGAACGACTGCATTTGCCACAATGAACTGGATTGTACACCAGGGAACTTTTAGAAAGCCTTATCAAACCACGTGTTATCATTTTGCGTGACTCGGTAAATACGGCCAGGCTTACGGTGTTCCAGCTTCATCATGACCCCAGATGTGTTCCGTTCATGTTAGGTGAACCTGTTCCTCTCATTGCAAAAATATGGTGATCCTTTCTGAAGCACCTAATGAGATTCAGAACCTATGGGAAGGTTTTCAGAGACAATCCGTCACAGCTATGTTTCAATGGTGCCAGCAAAAACGGCCACCTACAAACATAAGCTTTCTGTATATATCAGCCTGGTGGAACGACTCAGTGTAGAAAGGCCTGTTTCGCTCAGCTGTAACACCCTTCAGGTGCCTAGCTGCCATGCCACCCGAGGAAAGCTTGGATACTGCCAGGTTTCCCAAGCCTAAACAGGGGATGTCGAGAGGCAGAGGTCGGGTTCGAACCACGGACCTTCCAGTCGCGCTCTAACCACTTGAGCCATCTCGCTCCCGTCGAGCCTGTTTAGGGATGGTGATTTAAACAACAAACACCGATCCATACCTGCAAGCGTATATTAACAACCCAGGAAAAATTGCGGTCACTGGGATTCAAATATAACCTGCTGTGAGTATGATACTGATGGAAATATCGGGTAAAGTAATGGGGGTGGGGGTGGCCCGCGGTTATTTTTACTGCAGAGGGAAATAAAGAATAAATGTTGTCCGACACAACCAAAGACATAGCACACATAGTAAAGCTTGTGGCTGACCGTGAGCACTTACAGCATGTTCGGCAAGTTCAGTCGAAACGAACAAGATAGAGTTGTTTTCTTTTTACATTAAGCAATGAATCAGTTCTGTCTATCCTGTAGAAATGGATGTCTGCTAGTAACCTTATCGCAGTTGTTTGTGAGTCAGTTGACAGCAGTATTCAGGCTCATTATCGTCCTTTGGATGACTTTTCTAATCAGAGGCAAATCTGTGCGCCATTCTTGTGATCGAACTAATGCGTAAGTAGTGGAACTGCTGGCTAACGTCTTTGTCGTTCTGCCACGATGCATCCAAAATCGCAGTGAGTGATTCTACCAGTAAACGTTGAACGTTCCACGACCGGGGCTTTTCATCTTTGTAATTATGACCGCCTACTTTCGGGTCAAAGGGTTAAAATTAATCTCCAACATGGGTGAGCTGTTCCTATGCCTTTGACACGTGATGTTACACAGGCAAGGTGTGAAGAGAAAAACGAAAACCATGTAAGTATCAACACATAAATCCCGGTTAATTACACCTTGTACTAACAGGCATCCATTGAGCACTCGATTTGTCCCTGGAGGGTATGATAGTCAAATCCCCGGAGTGCTCTTTCACCATAAAAGTGTTGACTAAGATAATGCTTATTAGAAGGAGCATAAATTCCTATCAAATTTATGGATGACTGCTCGCCGTAGCTAGAGTTTTTTTGCATTCACAAGGTTCTTCTTATTGGGAGGGCTTTAGAGAAAAACCAACATAAAATCTGACATCTGACTTTCCATCATTGTCCATAGCCCTGATTACAGTAGGTTTTGTGCTCGAAAGTCATCTTAAACCTACAAGTTTAACATTCAAATACTGTCGCACTGATTGGATAAGAAAAGCACAAATCAAGGTTGAGTGAGCTCAGCGGAGAATGTGGTGGTGATGATGAAAACTTGTGTTCGTTTTCGACTACAATCCAGGCTATCCAGTGGCGTATCACAGTGAAACTGACTCGAACTTGTTTAAACCCCCTGCACAAGTCGCTCGATTTGCGCATCGTTTTTCGCGGCAAATCTTCCCACTATTTTACCGTAATTTTCGTTTTTACAAACACGGATAGAATTAACTGTAACATGCCACACACGAAAACTCATTCGGTAAGCACTTTTCTTTGACTAGAATCAAATGTTTCAAATATATAAGACTGATGTACTGATGTGGTTTGAAAAATAGAAAAAACAACTGCCGTATCCGGTGTCAGGTTACACAGAAACAACATTTCTAATTTGAGTACTACGGAGTTCAAAAGGGGATATGAGTTCTTTCTCAATTTCTCTCTCAAGTTCCATGGACTTTTGAAGTCGATAAAACAACGTGGAATCAGTAGACAAGATCACGTGAGTGCTGGCATCATATGACCGCTAGATTCTCACTAAAATCTCATACGTCGGATTGGGTGACAGCTGGACATAACAAGCGTTTGTGCTTCGTCTGGCTGTCATATACAGTCGTGAATGTTGTGGCGGAAGAGTTGTTAGCGGAAGAGTTATATGAAACAACTAATGATGAAAATCTTTGAAAAATGCTCCCATTTGATATTTCGCGCAACCGTACGTTAAACTAGACAATAAGGATGACATGTTGACATTGAGGTAGGTTAGAAATTTGTTTAGGAAGTAAGGATTGGAGAGCAGAACAGTGATGAAAAAGGCAAGTAAAATAGATGGATGCTAGGGTTTATCATATATTTTGCATGAATTCCGCCAGATATCTTAATTTATTTGGTACGGCCTTGCTGAATACTTATCGGTTTGAATGAATAGAAGAAAGCAAAGGGGGCGAGGCAGCTCAGTGGTTAGAACGCGAATTTACTGACTGGAAAGTCCGTGGTTTGAACCCGAAATCTGCATCTCCACTTTTCCTGTCTAAACCTGGGCATCCTGGCAGTATCTCACTCCTCGTACTTCTTTCTGGTGATATGGTAGTCAGACGCCGAAAGAGTGCTACAGCAGAACGCTGGACTAATTTGGATTCTCCCATGTTCCGTAACCACAGTGGACCGCGTTACTCTTGGTTGGGCAACTGGAAGGGCGCAATACAGAGCGGTTTCAGTTACACGGTCCCAGTAAGATGATAGTCATAAAGAAACCCTCGTTTTTCATCAATTTCTGATGTGTTGGGAGATACGGTCGAATATTGCTTGTTTTAATCTTTACAGCACATTTTCTGCCTCAGTTTGGCATTCTAAGTTTAAGACCAATACTTTGCTCAAATTAAACCTTGAAGATGAAATGCCAGTTCCCCCTCCCAGAATACGGGTGTGTATTCCGTCTGCTGTTGTTTGGCAGAATAGGTTGAACTCACAATAGATCAGCTTGCCAAAATGATACGTGAGCATCTCTCATGCCGGAATACCACTAGACTCAGTGACTCGGTCAGAAGCTCGATTGCGTCACACATTATTGATACTGATCACGTGATCAATCCAAACGAGTCGTTTAACGCCATCTTTCGAGCGCCTATTAGAGTGTATTAGAGTGTATAAATCCAACGGTGCCGCTTGAATACAGCCAGAACAATCGAAAAGCGATTGCAAAACCCGGTATTATGTTGTCAAAAATGATTCGTACGAACCCTTAGCTTGCCTTGGTCTTGCGATACGAATCAATAAACCATGTATCTCAACAGTCTTTTAGGCCACCTTATGTCATCGAATTCCGTTTTATCAAATGTCAGCCCCATGTAACTCACCGAAAGCGCGCCAGTTGTACCGGTTTGGACAATTATTTGATTATAAAGACACAACTCACAAATTTGACAGGTTCTATTCGTTTTACATCTGTGTGAATCCGTAGAAGAGATATCCAATAGGTGACCTTCTGTCAGGCGATCTCGTTCTTTTTCACTGTTTTTCTAGCACTATGTTAGCAGGTTAGATTATTGTCAGACAGGCAGTGAATCCGAGGACACAGCAAAGGACCGCCGCAGTATACATCCAGGATAGGTGGCCTTTTCGTTTATCGTTATTTCTGGGGCAGATCGTTTCTTGCGTTCACTTACGTAAGTCGGTTTGCATTACGCATGCCTTACCGTCTTGTGGCGCATTAGTTTGATTTTAATGAGACTCAAGTGAATCTCACTTGGCTCTGTTGTTCATCCTCTTGTTTCGCTCTAATCAAGGCGTCACTCCAGGGCTGCTTGTACGGAGAGTTCGTCTAATACTGGTTGCTTGCAACACAAGCCAGAAAAATCTTGAAAGTGGCACTAACACACTTTCACAACAAATGATTTCCAGAAAGCTAAGCGGTGCTTTTAAGTGTAGGTATCAGTTCCCCGAACCCATGAACTCAAAGGTATGGTATGGCATTCGTTTTTTCTGTCTGAAGCACTGGGCTATCCCACTGTAACCCGAAATCCCCTATTGATCCGTTTTTCTAAGCTCCATACTCGACACTTCCGGTATTCTGTGACCGAGCGGCTGATGCAACCGGATGCGGACTCTGCCGTCGTCACAGTTCCTACGCCGTATGTCTGACAAGCCGATCAATACCTCGAGTCTCCAGTTCGTTTCCGGATTACAACAAGACGATTTTACCAACTGAGTCAACCAGTCCAAATAATGGCGCGCGTTCAGTTGTGTTGCTGATGTGAGAACAACTCGCTGAAATTAACTGTGCCTAATAGGAAGTAGGCGATGAAATCGTACGGGACGGATAAGCCTGCCGTCACAATCGAAGTAGCAATTATCGCGGCGACAGATAAGCCACATGAATGCTTGTTGGAATGATATGGTGGAAGTAGCATAGTCGCTTACTTTCCAATTTGATTACCACAGCAATTACTCGATGCGATAAGACACCCTGTCGGAATATCTCACAGTAAATGACTTTGGATCGTCAAGTAATTGTCCGCTATCAGCAAGTAATGGACAGAAAAATTGACGGAATGCAAATGAGCCGTAACGAAACCATCATTCACACGAAATAAGTACCCAACGTGATGTAGAGGGAGCCTCGGTTACTGGAACTTTCGTGGAAGTTGGAAGTTGGAAAGCATACAGTTATCCTGCGACTAGAATGCTTATTACGCGTGTATATTTGCGAAACAGCAAGTCGTCTTTTAGTCGCTGGTAATTTAGTAACAGATGCTTCATTTATCATTATATACGCAGTAGGTCTGGTGATTATAATCACGTTAACTGGTTGTTCTTAGCTGAGCACTCTTCCACCTACCATGTATCACTGAACTCGTCCATTTTTGAAGAATTTTGCGCAAACACTGATAGGACTTTAGTTGCGTACATGTCACAGGATTCAGAAAATGCTTCCTCCCTTTAAACATACTGGAGATAGGCCATGAGATGAACAGATATCGGTCTTACATTATGGGATATGGAGTCAGTGTAAGCCCGAAGGTCATTGGCAAATCGACCATAGCTTGCAACCGTCTTTGCTCCGGCAATTTGCCCTCAAGAGTTCGTCCTCAGGAAAAACAGGTAGACAAAGCATGTGTATGTAAGTGTATGAGCAAGTTCTTTCTAAATTTTATCCTTTCTATCTGGACAGAGGCGATTGGATTCATTCACCCAATGTGAACAAAGACTTCAGGATTGTACTTTTCAAGCCAATAGGCTCCCAACAAACCCACGGAAACGTTGACTCAGAATCTTTCTATGTGTTATACCGACACCTTCCTTTTGCGTTTGAGCATTGACAACCGAAAGTGTAGCTGTCGGACCGTTTTTGCTTTAGCCCACAGTTTGTGAGTTCCAGCGTAGGAAAGCGTCCAATACCGAAAATAGGGTAGTGATTTGTCCTGGTTTAGGTGACGCATCAGATGGGCTATCTTTGGGCGAAATAACTCTAAAAATATGGCATGGGGGTAAAGAACATCAACGTATACGTTCATTAAATGAATATCGTAAGGTTCATGTCAAATTTGCACCCATGTTCTCGCATATTCTAATACCGTTCCTGCTGAGGATACGGCTTTGCTGCCACCGACAGTTCAAGAGATCGCGGAATAAATGAGTACGAGGTGTTTTGGAAGGTTGACGATCAGAATCATTACTCCATGTTTCGCAATGCACTAACTGTTGGTGAACTAGTATTCGTCGTTGCACGAGGTATGCAAACGCTGAAAGAAATTTCAAAAGTGCTTCAGAATGAAAATACATGAGAGGGTAACGGTTGTGGGCAGTTGCTTCCAGGTCAGTGGATGGCAGCAACAAAATCTTTTTAAGGTCTGCACATCAAAACTAGAGTTGCAGCTATCCTGTTTGAGTGAATCCGTCCTCAAATTACTACAGCATGTAAAATCCCCTTATGTGTGCAATGCTGTATCACTTGTATGATGAGTTTAAAAAGGTTTTCGGTACACACAGTCGATGATCCTTTACGATCACTTACATGCAGCATTACCAAAATACTTTTGTGTTCTTTTCAAAGCTCATTTTCAGTTTGCAACGAAAACCGCATTATTCAAGCATTGCCTAGCAAATCGAACGAAGGTTTCCTCGAAATCGTCTTGGACGAAGTGCCATCACAAAGCAATCAATAAATACTTAACGGTAATTAAAGCTTATGCTTCACCTTTGATTCCGTAGTAGTTCACCATGTAAGCTGATCCGAAGGTAACGCTAATCAACCAAGTCGTTCTCGAGTTGACACGAATATTCTACTCAGGCCTGTTGGGAAACTCTCTTGGGATTCCTTGTGTAAGATTTAGGAGACTTGTGCTATCGGTCCCTTCTTTCCAACCAGCCAGTTATTCTTAATGTATGTAATGATAACTTCCCTCAACAACATTCCCGTAAGAATTAGTCTTCTTCTTCAGTGTTTTATACGTTTGAGTTTACAAGTGTGATTGGTAGTCTAAGCCAGTTGCTTTTGGTTAGAAGCTAAGCTGATATATCACAGGGTACAAGAACCACGTTCATTTTGCCCACTGCACTCGAGTAAATAATTTAGTTACGCCACTGCCTTTGGACCAACCTATCCTTGTCTCCGAATGCTCTTGTGTCAGCCTTCCTCCTCTAGCCTTACTGGACAGCTGGATTCCCGATCAGAACTCCGATGATGACTAAATGTCGGCCGACTCGTCCGTAATGTGGGCACAAGTTTAAACAACCGATTTCCCCCCAAACAAAAGATCCATTTTCCGCCCATAATCTTCAACAGGAACACGTGAATCTGGTTCAACAGATTAGATAATCAGATATCAACTGGATAGGCACCTGACTGAACACATTGTAGACATCTGGTTCGAATCTGGTTTGCAAACACTGGTTCGCAGTGGCCTTAAAGCGGCCTCCCACTGTTTTGTTGTGAATTGGACGCTTGGTTGAACAAATGAGAGTCTATCGGCAGTTTGGAAGAGGCAAACGAACTGACCAAACAAGAGCGCAATTAAATCATGTCGTTGAACCCCCGGGTTTGTGGCTGTGTTACATCGCTCCATTGCTGGCCACTGTGTGAGTGGTCAACCCCCACAGCTAGCTTATATGAAGTGTCTGTAGTACAGGATACTTATTTTCAACATGAATGCGCAGACCACATGGCAAGCTTATCTGAGGTTCTAATAGATGCCTTGGACATATTCCCTTATATAATGATTAGGAATGGAAAAACCCTCATATTTTCACTCTGTCCAATGAAAAAGAGATAACTCATGAGAAGTGCTCATTGTATCCAGTGGTTTCAGAGAAGCGATTCAGTGAATAGGCAGAAGATACAGTGGATGTTAAATCCGCCAGATAGAAAAGCAGAGTGAGACTTGTGGTGGCTTTGGTCAACCGGAACGGTACCATGGGAAGCGGAACAGATGTTGCGGGACAATAAAACATGCAGTCGTGGCAATGATGGTTAGTTTGAGTTTCCAGGGGATCTTTGTTGAAAACCAGTACAACCTTACAAGTAGGAAAAACAGGTATCCGCATTCATCATTCTTTTCGAAGCCGATGGTCTCGTAGAAAAATACACCGACCTTGGCGTATGGTTAGGCTTTTTGGTATGCTTGTGGGTAGCAGTAGGCTTGATAGAACTAGAATTAACTATGGTCCATCCACGCAGATTAACCCATCGGTTCAACTGACAGACCGATACCAGTAGGCAGAATGATAACAAAACTTGTGGTGCTCTAAATTGGCCTTTCCGGCTCGTGACCAGTGTGAAAGCGATCAGTAATCTCGTGGCAGCATGCATTGAGTATGTTGTATATATTCCTAGCTCATCTATCTATTTTGAACAATTAAGAAATGACAAATTGGCACACGATTAGGTACTGGGATTAGCCAAACCTGATACAAATATGCAAGCTCATGTGTAGTTCGTGGAGTCACTCTGGTGCCGGCCATTTGCCAGATTCTGTTGCATTTCCTGACACTTGCTGACAGATTATTTTGCGCTCTGCTAGCTGTGATGGTCGGTGGATCGGGGGTTCACTGTATTGACTGTTTGTTTGCTACATGACACAATAAATTCGTAGTCGGTAAACTGCTCACGATACAAATAATTAGATGAACTGACTTGGAACTGTGAGTTCCAGTGAGTTTCTCCCTACACACTTTTCGTGACACGAGTACACCACTCAGGAGAATTGTACTTGTTTTAACATGTGCGTCGCAATCATTTATAGAGCCGATTGGCAGTGAGCAATCAGAATGCTTCCTGAGTTTTCCAAGGACGACTCGGTTACTGCCGCTTCATCCACCCGAGGCTGTTATAACTGATCATTACGGGTTCGAGTAGTGGTAAGTTATGGAAAGCAAACTTTCGTCTTGACTGGGGCTTGTAAGGTGTGTGTGGCAGGATTCGATCGCCTGATATTCCGGTTCAAAGCGAAAACCAGGCGGTTGGCCCAATGGTGACTATGAGCCTGAACATCAGTCACTCGAATCCTACAACTTCCATTTGACGAGTCCCAATTGGGACGGAACGGGCGATAATCTTCTGTTTCAAACCAACCACCTCTCATTCATCTTGCGCTACTTGCTGCCAGAAAGTAGTAGGAATTAAGCACGAGAATAATTCGGTCCTACCGATTACCCACTCAGGTCTGCCGCCCTAACAGGAACTCACCAGATAGATTTGCGGTTTGTCCACATTCAAGATTGAGGCAAAGCACAACATTACAAGCTAGTTGTGTTGTTTTTGGCGAAAAACAATAATGGGGATGTCTGCAGTATCATAGCAGACCTTCTTTAGGGGAATACATTCCTTCTATAAAATGGATCCTATCAGGATACTCCCTGAGAGTGAGTCAATATGAAATCAGTAAAAAAACTTGTTGCTCCGGTTTTGCCGTTTAAAGATCCAGTTATGCTAGTTGTTTATTTGTACCGCGAACACAATCGTAAGAGACGAACGTCTTATAAGTAATTTATTTAAAACTGAGCGGACATAGGCTTACCTTCAATGGGACAGTGTCGAAAAGCTAAATAAATCGGTGTGACAAAAATGGCAGTGCCCCGCTAGAGAGTGATGAATGAGCTAGACATTGAAATTTCAGAAACTTATTGCCAAGAGGTAAGAATAA